GAAATACAAGTTGCAGACAAATTCAATGTGATTAAAATATCAATATTCAATATCGTAAAGGCATTATTCTGAATGTTTACACTCAAACTAACTAGTGAGACTGAATTCAATGTTAAGCATTGTTTTTTATACAATATAAATCAGATTAAGATATTTTATGGAATGTAGGGTTTACGGATAAAGTAGAGCATAACTTTTATAAATTCTTTTCATGCTAGAGATGCGTAGGTCTTTATAAAAAAATGTTGTTTACCAAAAAAAAATATAACTTTAACTCTACCATCCTAGTTTGATACCAAAATGCAATACAGAACATAGTTATAAGATCTATAGATTACAAAATATAATTCATAAAAAATATGCATATATTTTGTAAAGCATTCTACTACATATTAACCTAAAAATATACCGACACTTTATCTAGACTTTTTGAACACATGATAATTCATGAATAAAGCATTAGATAAGTTTGAGCTACATAACTGTCTGCGATTAGTTATTTATATTTTTAAGCAAAATTAGAATAATTATTACCTGCAACTCTATACCATGTCCTTTTTTGTAATATTCTTGGAGATCGTGAAATGCAGTCTTCATTAAATAGTTACGTTCCAAGGTCAAATCTAAAAGACAATTCCATGATATAAAGCTACCAGAAAATGTTGAACTGAAAAATATTTTCACTATTTTTCTATGTGAAATAACTTCATTTCTGAAATAGCCCATCATAATAAAATCTTTCTGATAGAGCATGTTAGAAGTAGTAATCATAACCCCACAAAAAGCACTAATTGTAGCTAAACAAATACAAAAAAAACAAATACAATAAACAAATGCCTTTTATATTTTTATGCTTTATTGTAAAACAAATAATAATATTTACTTATTATTGAACTTGTTTGCCTGCATTCTGTACAAGGTCGTTGTTTTCGCCGGTGTTTATGATCTGCTTCTCCCTCACGTAAATGGCTTTGACTAAATTTTCTCCTATTTTCAAGAGATCCCTCAAGACCAATCCTATAAAATCCTGCATAAGCTTTTTAACAAATGGTAATATTTATGATCTTGCCATTGTTGGGGGCGGGATTGTAGGACTAGCTACAGCTCGAGAGATAAAAATAAGATTTCCTCATCTGAACTTGGTTGTTCTTGAAAAAGAAAAAGACCTCAGTCGACATCAATCTGGCCACAATAGCGGTGTCATACATGCTGGTATTTATTATCCACCTGGATCACTAAAGGCTAAACTCTGCGTCGAAGGCCTTAGGCTATCATATATATATGCAGATGAGAAAAAAATTCCCTACAGAAAGTGCGGAAAACTTATTGTTGCTGTTGAGGAGCATGAAATTCCAAAGTTAGATGATCTGATAAGCCGTGCAACAATAAATAAAGTACCTGGTATCCAGATGGTTTCAGCTGATGAAATACCCCAAATCGAACCTCATTGCCGAGGTCTTCGGGCAATTTATTCTCCAGAAACAGGTATTATAGATTGGAGACAAGTCGCTCTATCATATGCTAAAGATTTTGAGTCGGCTGGTGGTGTAATATACACAGACTTTCAGGCAGATCATTTTACAGAAGTGATGAATGCCGATTTTCCTATTTCCATACGACGTAAAATAGATAATTCATCTTCAAATATTCCAGAAGTTACTTGTAAATATGTCATTGCATGTGCTGGGCTGCAGTCGGATGTCGTTGCCATGAAAACTGGCTGTTCTAAGCACCCGAAAATTGTCCCATTTCGTGGTGACTATTTACTGTTAAAAGAAGAAAAATGTCATTTGATCAAAGGAAACATATATCCTGTTCCAGATCCTCGTTTCCCATTTTTAGGGGTTCATTTTACCCCAAGAATCGATGGCTCTGTTTGGCTTGGGCCTAATGCTATTTTGTCGTTTAAGCGAGAGGGCTACGGAAAATTTGACATATCCCCAAAAGACACTTTGGATTTTTTATTTTACCCCGGACTACTAAAGATCGCCTGGCGATTTTTCGGAATAGGAATGAAGGAAATCTATAGGAGCATCTTTCTTTCAAACCAAGTGAAGCTTCTCCAAAAATATGTTCCTGAATTACAAGTAAGTGATGTTACTCGCGGGCCCTCTGGTGTTCGAGCCCAAGCCCTTAGCCCCCAAGGAAATCTCGTTGATGATTTTGTATTTGATCACGGGGACGGCCCAGTAGGAAAGCGTGTTCTCAACGTCCGCAATGCACCCTCACCAGCGGCCACATCCTCTTTATCTATTGCTAGAATGATTGTTGACAGGGCTTCAGAGGAATATGGACTCTCTTCTCAAAAATGATTCACTTAATGTCAGACATTTCTCTTCACATTTCGTATTTAGCTTATTGCTAACCTTTAGAAATGTCATTATTTCTTCTTTTAGGATATTAAATTATAATAGTTTTTAAAAATGTACCTTCCAAATTCTTTTATTGACAATGATTGTAGTCATTTCATTTCAACACAGATATAGAATGCTGTTCAAGGGCAATGTCCAGTATTTTTTGCCCAATGTCTTTCTATTCGCCATC